AGGTGATGTCAGTTGGTTTTCCCTTATCCATCAAAGCTGTAGCTCCATCATAGAAGGCCACTAAATTTGTCAGGAACGATTTGCCCTTAGTGAAGCCATGTTGGCTGTCACCAATCACCTCTTTATTTTCCATGTGCTTAAACATAGTTTTCAGGAGGATCTGTTCCATGACCTTGCTGGGCACAGAGGTGAGACTGACTGGCCTGTAGTTCCCCGAGTCTTCCTTTTTTCCCTTTTTAAAAATGGGAGTTATGTTTCCCCTTTTCCAGTCAGTCAGAACTTCCCTGGTTTGCCACAACTTCTCAAATATGATGGCTTAGCCACTTCACCTGCCAGTTCCCTCAGGACTCGTGGATACATCTCATCAGGTCCCATGGACTTGTGCATCTTCAGGTTCCTTAGATGGTGTCAAACCTGATCTTCTCCATCAGTCAGCAGTTTTTCATTTTCGCAGTCCCTGCCTCTGCCTTCTGCGACTTGGGCAGTGTGGCTGGAGCGCTGAAGGATTCTGAATGCTAGTGCAAGTACTGTTGCAGATTCCATAATCATGTGTTTTGGATGTAATGTGTTTACCTTTGTCTGGCCCCCTTTCAGACTTTACTGCGTTCTTTTCTTGGGTACTTTACAGCTTATTATTTGGCTTTTGGCAAAAAGAGCTTGTGGTCTAAATCTTGAAATTGAAGGCAGGTATTTTTTGTGAGTTGCTTCACTTCTTGATATGGGTCATGAAAGATGACTTAGTAATGGTGCTTAGAGAATAATTTCTTACCTACTTTTGATACAAATGACAAATCCACAAGGACAATATTTAAGTTGTATTGTAAAACTTAGGTCACTCACATAGGAACTTCCATTAGTTGTTAACCGTAATTAGAAAGAAATAAGAATTAGATTTTAATAACTTTTCCGATAAAATCTTGCTTTTAATTGTGCAGTAGAATCTCAACTGAATCTTTCTTTTCAGCCTGAGAAAGCTGTGACATATGAAGATACGCCAGACTGCAGTGAAGTGCCGTGTGCGTCTGGATCCATGGAATTTTCTGGTGCAACTTCGCTAGTTGAAAAATCTCCGTTAGAAGAATTTATTCTAAATACTCGCAGAACAAAGCAGGTGTTTGAAGAATAAATACTAGTTCCTTAAAAAAACCTATATATATACACTGTTCTTAATCCAAATAATCTTACACTCATTGTACATAAAACTTATTACGTATTTAAATGTTTGGTGGACCCTGGCAAAGGGGAGTTACAAACTGAGTAAAGAAATGTTTTAAATGTATAGCTGAACATAAATTGTGGCTGCTTCTAGCTGTAGGTCATGATTCATTTGATGAGAACTTGAGCTTTGATGTTGTTTGTACACAAATTAAATATCTAGGGAATGAGTAAATGAGGATTTTAAAACTGATGGAAAAACAGTAAGGTACAGCAAACAAGATCTTAGAGCTAGGCTAGAGCTGGACAAGCCTTTGAAGAAGTTCAACCTGTCTGTATTAGACAAAAAAATCCAATGAAGCAATTAAAATTATACAGTTAAACCAAATGAAAATTCTTAGCTGTGTTTAGATGAGCTGATGAGGAATAGTCTTAAATGTACAAGCTGAAGAGTTTAGAAGAGCAGATAAAGAAATGGCAAATGACTTGAGATGTTTATTAGCAAGTTATAGAGGGAATTAAGTATTGAAGGGTTTTTTACCATTTTGCTCAATAGGCGAGCATTGTGTGGTATTTTTAACCTGCTTCAATTTTAGAATTTCCTTGTCTGTAACATTCCTGAATGTGATCAGAATACAGCAAAGGATGTATCTTTTTTTTTTGGTTACATCTCTTGTAGCATTCAAGGCATAATGCTCAACTGGATGGTATGGAATTCACACTGTCAACTACAGTGACAACAAAAGTGGCATCAAAGAAGCATGAAAACGAAGAGAATGTTGATACAGAGTCAGCTTTAAGAAATGAAACATCCTTTGCACTTCCTGCTCCAGAGACTCCTTTTGTGAAGGGTCAGATCGAGACGCAAGTAGAAACCATGCCCTTTCAGGCACCTGCCTTCAACGGTATGTTGAACGTACTAATGAAAACTTAATATGTATGTGTTGCTTAGGAATTGTTGTTAATTCAAATATGAACACAATACTGGTGTATCCAACACATCTGTTTCTGGAAGACTTAACTTTTTTTGCTGTGTTCACCAGCCTGGTTCTTCTAGTACATCTGGTAAGGTACTGCAAGAGGTTTAATCATACATCAGGGCATGTTACTTGTATGTTAATTACAGAAGTCATTGCTGCTTACGGTATCACACGTGCATGTCTTTTGGCACACTCTGACACAGAGCTAAGTGCTGTGTTCCTAAAACTTGCATCTGGTTCCAGTTTTCCATGAAGGTTTAGAACACAATTTCTTCATTCTGGTTTTTTCTTTGTTATTACCTTGAGTGAAAATAAAGGTATACTTTTAGTTAAGTCTGCTTTTAAGAGAAATCTAACTTTTGGATTTCTCATGGTAGCGTACCAGCATTCTCACAGTAACAGTCCAGTATGGCAGTGAAAATACTTCTGTTAACAATGCATAGATCTTACAGTTATGTGACCACATATGTGGTCTTTGTTATGGACCACAGAAATCTGTCTAAATTATACCAACTTTTCTGAGTTACCAGAAATTTCTGTCCTCAGCCTGTTTAGTCCATTCTTATGAAAAACAATGGATGCTGCATGTATGTTACCGTTGCCTTCAACCATTAACATAAAAGTTTTCATTTTGATACTATAAATGCCAACTCTGTCTTTCAAATGCCAAGGACGACTCAGAATAGGAGACTCTTCTGCTCTGGATGTTAAGGAACATTGTTCAGAAACATTAAGTCTTTGCAGGCTGATTCAAGTTATAAGAGGTCTTGGACATACTGCTCTTCAATGACATCCTTTGTAGAGGATTTGAGGAAGTACACTACAAAGACTAGTTGTTTATGAGTTTGATTTTTGTCTTAAGACTGTATGGGGTAACTTGTGAAGTTTGACTTCATGTGAAGTTTAAAAAGCAAAAGTAGATAGTCCTTCTGAAATGGGAAATGCAGAAACACTGTTTCAACTCATTTTAGTGAGATATTTCTGAGGATTAAACAATTAAAAGATAGTTCTTTGTTTCATTCAAAGATCTTTGATTCAGAAAATATGGTATTAATACTTTCTTAGAGACATAAAAATGGAAGTATCCATTGGAAATTTTGAGATCATCATTGTCTGAGTCCAGATGCAATTCTCTAGAGAGAGCTGAAACTGCAAACATTTAAAGTCGGATTTAGTTGTAACAGCTCATTGCTGACTGTTTAACTTCATGTTTGGTTCTGCACATTCAAAACCATGCTCTGCAGAACTCCGTCAATGTGTGGGTAGTAGAACATTTTAGGCTATTATGTAGTGTGTGTTATTAAACACAGCTATATAAACTTACACCCTTCATATAAGGGAAATGACTTGGTAAAGAACGCAACTATTCAACACAGTGACTTGCTCAGTATTTATTCTAGGACTAGTGGCAGAGCAAGAACGCGATTCTAATCCTCTTCCTTTCCAAATTTCTGATACTGAACTGAATTGGTTGCTCTAAGGCTTGACTTGAAGAGCACTGGGGAGATCAGTTGCAGTTTTAATTTGTAGAGTGGGGGTAGTATTGTTATTATATTAAAAACGTATTTTATCATTCTGAAGATACAGACCTGAGATGGAAAAGGAGGCTAGTTTTAGAAATAAATTATTAATCATGAGAAATCCTTGCTGAAGAAAACAAAATCCTTTATACAAAATCATACCTGCTTTGGCTTGGATGCTTTCTTTCAGAGAGCCAGTTCACTACAGTCACCCCAATTAAGAAACCCACAAACACAGATGAATTGGCAGCAGCTGAGGTCCTTCCTGAAAGAAGGTAAATGTCCAGTTATTTGTGTACGCTTCTGATTTAGAGCAGAACTACCTTAATCCATGCACTGCCTAGGAAGCCTTGTTACAACAGCAAGCTGTTATTTCCATTCTCTTGGTAAAAACCTTCCTAAAACCTCTTTCTACATTCACTAGAAAACAATGAAGGCAGAGAAAAGTTTTTAAACTATGTAACTCAATTATCTTCAGAACATATTCCTATTTTTCATACTAGAAATTCCTTCTTATTGCAGTTCTGCAGAGGGCTGCAGTTTCTATATACATCTCTGGGTTTAAATCTGAATTGACTTTCAAACAAACTCTCACGATACACTGCACTTGCTTTGGTTTTCTTCATTCTGTCAGGTCTGGTAATATTTTAGTGATGTATCTGAAATAGCTAGTTTCTAAACACTGAGGAAAAATAACTGATTAATTTGTTCATGTAACAGGTGTCATTCAATGGAATCGCATCTCAACCTAACTCATGTGGATAGCAGCCAAAAGAAGAGAAAAGCCAAAATATTCGGAAGTCTTGAAAGAGGCCTAGACAAAGTGATCACAATGTTTACGCCAAGCAAAAAGAAACGATCTGCTAGAGATCACCCAAGGAAACTTAAGGTATGGTTGCTGGAAAAATCATACGTGAAAAGAAGTGTAGTTACTGAAAACGTCCAATACCTTTAGAAATGGTCTTGTGAAAACTTCTGTGATCTGACTTTGCCTGCATTCTACAGTAAAGTGTAGTTACTCTTCCTGCGTCTCTGTTAACATGATAATGTCCCAGTTATTGGCAAGAGATGTCGTGTTGGTCTGAGCTCAGGCAAGTCAGCAGATCAAGGGAGGTGTTTGGACGTTGCTTTTTATATCCCGTCTAAACCAAATGTGAGGGAAGCAGGATGGCTTTAAAGGAACTCTGGCTGAAAATTTTTAATCATGTCATTTGTATAGAGATACTGGTAGCCCTCCTACTTAAAAAAAAGTAAATTCAATTTTTATCACATTCCTGGCTTAGGTTTCTGTAGTCTAGGAGCGATATGTATGTTCCAATATACTCTTTAGATGTCAAAAGAACCTGAGATTAAACTTAATGCCTAAATAAGTGCACCTTTTGAAAGAATTTCTGACATTGTCAGCGTAATTTTGATTTTTAAAGTTTTAACATCACTGTGTCCGAGCTAGTTGGCTACTTATTGTTCTTGAAGTAGCCATAGAAAAAACAGTTCCTCAGACAGTGCATTGCACAGAGCACTTTATTAATGTAATTTTAATTTGTACCTACCAAAGTTGACTCGTGAGGTTAGTATTAGCTTTGTAGGATACACTTCAAATGGCTTTGGCATAATAACTAGGGTAGTGAACAGGATGGTGTGCATCACTCAAAAGCAGCTAATACACTTCAAAAGTTACGCAAGGAGGAATTTATACTTGAATCTGTAAATGACATGTTTGAAAAACATGATTAACATGAAAGATGCAAGACTGTTACTGATGCATAAACAGTTCTATAGAAGTGATGTATACCTTCAGCTGACTGGCTCCTGAAGCTGCAGCCATTAGGACCTTTACAGTACGGAAAGAGCTGTCTGTCAGTAAAAGGACCAGTCTGTGTTTTGCAGCCTGTGTAAATGGAATTCAGCTCCTGTATTCCAGTTGGAAGCTTTTCCAAGAGGCACTTGTCAGAGGCAAGGTGACAGTCTTAAAGGTTCAGGACATACATTGGGCTACAAACCTGACCGACTCATCGGACAGGAGTCCAGACTGTGCAAATAATTCAGGAACCCAAGCAACTGGAAACAAAAGCTAGAAGCCTATGTTCATTTCTCAAACTATTTTATGATCTTGTCTTCTCTCAGCTGCTTCTGTGACTTCAGGAGCCTGACAGAGCAATTGTGGCATTTACGGTTGGACTCGGTGATCTAAAAGGTCCTTTCCAACCTGAACGATTCTATGATTCTATATTACATTTGGAATACACTTTCTCTTACTACATATGGGTGTCTGAAAGTTGTTCAAGAAGTCACTTATTGGACAAGGCTGTTGTATGAAGTATTAGATGTGATATAAAACCCCTATAACAGTAAAGTTATGAGTAGTAAGTAACCTTTTTTCTTTAACCATGGTGATGCTTTAGTCCTAGAAAAGCCGCACGGTGCCATGCCTGTTCCTTGATATCAGAAGTACTCAGTCTTAGCGAGCCAACAGGCAATAGGCAATGTTGCAGCTGTGGAGCGTGCAGCAGGATGCTCTAAGCGCAGTTCTATGACTGATAGCTTCAATTTTAGGAAAAGTTTTTTTCTTTACTATGTTTTTTTAATGAACTGACTACTTTTAGGCACACTATAATGTTACCACCACCCAGCTGCAGAATCCAGACCAACTGTTGAATGAAATAATCGCTGTTCTTTCAAAGAAGCATGTGGAATATGTTCAGAAGGGGTAAGTGTAAAATACGATTACTTCAACTTTTCTTTGTCTAAATAGTCAGTACTCCAGCACTTGATAAAGCAAAGTATTTAAACCTATTTTCTCAGCCCCACATTGTAAAATACAGTAATTTTATAGAAAGTGTATGGAGCACTGAATGACTGTGTGCAATAAGAGTTGTCCACACAATGCAAGACAGTGTTAAGTGAGCTCTAATAAAGGTCTTTGACTGACAGATACGAACTGATAATAGTAAGGTAGCTCTTAGAGGCTGGTGTGAATTTTGTCTCCCTCTTGTGAAACTGTAAATAAAAAAGTTGTTAGGGTACAGTCACATGACCAAATTGGACAATTTTGGAAGGTAATGTGGATAACTTGTAACCCTCATTCTTGGTGATTAAGAGACATTAGCATTTAGCCAAGAGATCAATATATTTTAAAAGCTGCACAGCATCCACATACCTTTGTGTGGATTATTTTAGTTTGTAGGACTTGTATTTTAATTTGTAGGATTTACTAACTAGACTAAGGTACTGACAGTAGGGTTGGTTCCTAGGTCTGATCAAACCTTAAGGTCTGTTTCCTAGTTTCCCGATGCATGAAAGAAATGTGCTCACTTATGAATACGCATTTTTCTAAAGTTCTTGAATATTTAAATGATATGCACTGTAGAACATCGGAGTATACTTCAACCTCTGATGGATTTCCAGGCTCAGAATCTGGAATGATGCTGAATTGCACAGAAGCAAGTTCTCCCGTTGTAACAATTTAAACTTCACATTCAGTTTTTCCACTTTTCACACCAGCTGAGCTATAGCTGACCTCTCAGCAGCAGTGTGTCTGCAGAGAGGAGAGCGGTCTTGTCTAGAAAAACTGTGGGAAGATCTCCATCCTTCCAGCTCTGCGCTCTGAGAACGGGGGTCTGTGGCTAGTGGTGGTTCCTGTGGCTGGGTAGGCCATTGGTGCCATGTGCTGGTACTTGGGCATAGCGACAGTCATCTGAGACTAAAGTATTCAAAGCTCTCACTTTACTAAATTCTGGGTTGTTTCCTGATATTCTGAATAGCAACAGGATAATTTCTGTAAAGTGCTTTATTTTGAAATTGCCTTGCAAAACAAGCATTAAATAGCCCAATGATTATTCTGTTTTTCCTTTGTTTTGTACAGTTATACCCTGAAATGTCAAATACGGTCAGATTTTGGCAAAGTAACTATGGCGTTTAAGCTAGAAGTGTGTCAGCTCAGTAAATGTCAGGTAGTGGGCATCCGTCGACAGCGGCTTAAAGGTGATGCCTGGGTCTACAAGAGACTGGTGGAAGATGTCTTATCTAACTGTCAAGTGTGAGTCCATCTTTCTTGGGTTTTTAACTATCCTTCTTTGTACATGTGCCTTCTGTATGTTTCTGTTAATATCAAGTTTGTAATAAATGTTCTGCAAATCTTCTGAAATAAAATTCTGTAAGCTGTTCCCCCTCTTGCATATTTCTCATGTATGTGGGTTAAAAAAAAGTATTGGTGTTTGTACGCTAAAGCTTATTTTGATATGTCTTAAGTTATCAAGTACTTGTGGTACAGAAATAGCTATTTGCATAATTCTCTTCTTGTCTCTGCTTAAGCAGGATTTATTGAGATCATTAACTAAGTCACAGCTGTGGTTCCCAGAGTTACACTGTATGCTCAGTGTTGTACAAAATAGGACTGTCTTCTATAAATATGAAGTTAGGAGTGTCAGGGTTTGAACTATGATCCCATATAAAGCCTTACTGTATCTCATTACTAAGCCCTAGTGATGCTTAACAAGTGTATGTACTTTCTGATGCTCTTGTGTGATCATCAGATGTTGTGTTAGGAACAGTAGCACCTTTGAACTGTTGTGAGATGGAGGAGGCATTTGTAACCCTTACTGCCTACAGGGAATTTAACAGTACTGGGTGCGGAACTTCAGCGCTAGAAATAAAATTTGAAATATGCAGAACTAGTAAGTACACATAAGAGTTGGTTGGGGTGTGAGGGTATACCCTTAGGAAAGGGTACGTGTCTCCCAAGTACTTGTGTTATCCAACATGTAGCAGTATTTATGCCTTTAACCTTGCTTCAGTAGCAACCACACTGGGATAAATCCAAGCAGCAGCAGCTTTGAAGCCTTTCTCTCTGCAAAGATATCCAGCAATATCTAGACAAGTTGACAATGTGCTGCAGCTTTTTCTTAATGCACATGAAGGCAACTATGGCGTATGCTGCATGTAAACCTTGTGTTAATGCCCCTTAACTAAAGCCTGAGGCTCACCCATCAAAGGGTTGGGTAGGTGCACAGCTGAGAGGTGTTGGAAACTTCCAGTGACAGACATGAGATATGGCTACTAATTAAAACTGTCCCCTTACTATCCGGGACCCTTAGTGCAGTAACTAGAGGGATTTGTTAAAGCAGCTACTGACCAAGGTAGAAGTGTCCATTTTTTTCCAATGCCAAGTTGTCCCTTTGCTGCTCTTTACACAGTTAAAAAAATAGGGACATTTTTAGTGAATTTCAAGAAAAGGTAGGAATGCTTGCAAGGGCGTGTGGAAGGAGAGAGCTGATACTTCTTGAAGCATTTCTGGTCAAGAACCTTCTATATGCAGAAGGGGGTAATAAGAAAAGAGGGACAACATGAACAGGAACATACCATCTGTCAGTCAGGTTTGTGTCACTGTAAGAGAGGTAGTAATGAGAACCAGACCTGGTCAGTCACATTAATTGGTAAGGGTGTGTGGAGTGTGGTAATCTTTGTTTTAGAACGGTGATCTGAGTGAGAACCTTGTCAAATGGGATACTAAGGAAAAGGGGGAAGTCAGAAATAAAAAAATAGGAGGATGCAAACCCTGGACCCTGAGGGTCCAGGCTGTGGGAGGGGGTCGGCGGGACGGTGCCGATGGCTGGGATGATGCGCAGGGGCCACAGCCCGGTGCCTGGCGCTGGCTGCTGTGGGGCGAATGTCTGTGTGCTCCCCAACCCAGGTGTGCGTGGGGCGTGCGTGTGTCGTCACCGGCACACTCGAAGCTGGACCAGCGGGTGAGTAGGAGGCGCCGGGTCTGGGCAGGGGCACCTGGCGGGCGGAGGGTCAGTGCTGATTTTGGGAGGACCCATGAGCAGGGGGTGCCCATGGGACGAGTGTGCGAATGCTGTGTGTTTTCAGTGAGCGCTGAGCTGGACCCGCTGGCGAGGAGGGGACCCATGGGGGGGTCAGAGGCCCAGGGTCCGGGCAGGGGTGCCGGGGGGAACAGAGGGGCTGTGCTGGTCATCGGGGGTCCCACGACTGGGCCTGTGCTGGAGGAGACAACCACTCTCTTGATGTCCCTTAACTGCTAAAATAGAAATGTAAATGGTGATGCCCACACAGTGCCAGAGATCTTACAAGTGGTATGTGACCGGCAGCTAAGGGTTTGTATTGGTAAAAGCACACCTAACCTGTCGTTCTAACAAATAAGTGCTTAAAGCTTCATACCAGCACATAAATACTTTCTGTACCTGACTCATTTAGCTGCAATGTTAGACTCTTATTTGGTTTTGGGGCGTTGACATTGGAGTCTGCTAAATATCAGTTGGACATCAGCTAAAAATGCTGGCAGCGCAGCCGGGGGCCGTAGCTGGTACATGTCCGGAGTGCTGCAGTGTTGTGTGAGCTCTGGTTGGTTGGTTGCTTGCTTGTTGTGTGAATGCAAACTTTTCCCTAAGAATTTGGCCTCTGCCTGGAACTTGATCTGAATTGAAATAAGGGTAGAAGATGGAAGGGCTGATTGAACAAGGCATTTTGGTAACAGTCTAGCTAATGAATAGCATGGTATGTGTTTTAGATCACCAATCACAACTGCAAAGCCCGAGAGCTGAAGAATTAAAACATTTGCTTGCTTTTGCATTGCTTGGGTTTTAATTTCAGGAATGACTACAGAAGTATCCTGAAATACCTGAATGCTGTGATTCAGAAGCACCTTCTGTGTAACTATTCACTCCCTATGGCGACAAGACTGATGTTATGAAAGGCCAACCAGTAATTAAGATATCTTGTTCCTTTCTTCTTTTTAAGCTAAAAACAACTGAGAGGTAATTGATGCAAGTTGTCCTACAAGCTCTGATGTGTGAAATAAGGTTTTTCTTCATACGCTACCGTCTTGACTTTTTTTTGACTAATATTCCTTGCTGTGAATGAATGACATCTGGTGATAGCAGTCAGAGAATGAGCAAGAAGCAAGATTCATTTGTGCTTTTCTTTGAAACCAACCTGCTGCTACAGTGTCAGTATTTTTTTTAAACCAAGATTGCTGGAAGTCTGTTTCAGCTGATTTTGGGTGGAAATCAGAAGGAGGGAGAAACAAGGGTTAACAAATAAAGGAGCTGTGTGGATAATGAGGAGCTTGGGTGGTGCACCAAGCTTGTGGAAGCCTCTGCACAGAGGAACGCAGAGCCAGAAGATTTGTCTGGCTTCCCTGTGTTCAGACCCCTCTTCTTGCAGGCAGTTGGCTTGTATAGACATGTGTGTCAGTCTTGAAATCAACTGGTGTGCTACCCTTAGGAGGCTGTCCCTTGATTAGAACTGCTTTTCGAATCTAAACTTAATTTACGTGCATTATTGTCCTGCTTTGGCTGGGATAGAGTTAATTTTCTTCCGAGTAGCTGGCTTAGTGCTGTGTTTTAGATTTAGGATGAGAATAATGTTGATAACACAAGGATGTTGTAGTTACTGCTGAGCAGGGCTTATGCAGTGTCAAGCTTCTGCTTCTCAGCCCACCCCACCAGCGAGGAGGCTGGGGGTGCACAAGGTGTTGGGAGGGGACATGGCCGGGACAGCTGACCCCAGTGACCAAAAGGATATTCCATAGCATAGGGCATCGTGCTCAGCATAGGCAGCTGGGGGAAGAGGACTGAAGGGTCGCATTGGGAGTGATGGCATTTGTCTTCCCAAGTCACCGCTAGGCGTGATGCAGCCCTGCTGTCCTGGAGATGGCTGAACACCGGCCTGCCCGTGGGGAATTAATTACTTGGATTGCTTTGTTTGCGTGCACGGCTTTTGCTTTACCTATTAAACTGGCTTTATCTCATCTCATGAGTTTTCTCACTTTTACCCTTCTGATTCTCTCCCCCATCCCACCAGGGGGGAGTGAGTGACCAGCTGCGTGGGGCTGACCTGCCGGCTGGCATTAAACACGACTCTTGTACATGAGCGTGTTCTTGGCATGACCACTAAGGTTAAGTCTTGCCTTTTTGTCCAAGTATATGAGTAACCACAGCTTGCCAACGTGTGTTCTGTGAGATCGAATTAGCCAAGCCTTGGTGCCTCCTCTTGGGTCTCCATTTCACCATCCTGGTGTCGAGTGCTCCCCTGGCTGATCTTGGTTCATCTTCCTTTGAAAGCAGGTGGTCAAATGGTCCCTGATCTTGTAAATCCCTGTACAGACTTCATGCAATAGCAACAGTCTTTGTTCTCTTTCTACCTGGACTACTTTGTGCTATGGATATTCATGTTCTTTCCACCGCACGTGTTCTCAGTTCCTCCTTTCTGTTCCTCTTTGCTCATCTCTAACTTAGCTCTATCAGCAAATTTCTGTCACACCTTCTACAATTTGTATCCAGGCCATGAATAAAGATATTTAACAGGAGTGATGCCAGACCAATGTTTGAAAAATCTACAAGAAGCTCTCCCGTCTTCCACAGATCACTTTTTATCTCTTTGACTCCCTTACCTTTGTAGTTCGTGGAGTAATCCCTATTCTTCCCAGTGTAATTGTATTTCCTATCTGTTGCAGTATGAACTGCCCTTCAGAAGTGCAGATCAGTTCTGCTATGTATTGTTTAGAAAACCAGTTCCCAAAGGAGGACTGGACTAGTTTTGGTATTTTAACAAAACTATGCTACATGTTGATTTTATTTTGAGGAACAGACAACAGTGAACCCTTCCTGCGTTACCCCTGCAGCCCATCTGTTCACACGTTTAAATTGTTTTTCCATTCAAACCTTGATGTAAAGATCTTTTTCAAAGCCCCTGCTTTAAAATTATAACACGGAAGATATTTTTCATAGAGAATATCACCCTCTCATTGCTTTTCTTCTCTCTGCCTCTTTTCTTCAGAACCTGTCCTGCCAGATGGTTTTGCAGAGGAGCAGACAGGTGGACGGTTCGAGGGTGAGGGCAATAGGAAACCGACAGAGAAATTGGAACTGGCCTGTGTTAAGCTTAAAACAGATCTGTGTAATTTGAGCAGAAAAAAAACAGAATTAAATTTTGAGGCGAAGGGAAAAATAAAAATATGTTTACAGATAGAAGCTAAGCTAGTTATTAAGTTTATAGAGTGAGATTTGGTATAGATGTAACA